CGCCGGAAAAAATTGAACGACGCGTTTGAGTGATGCCTCGCGCCGACAACATCGACAATCGCAGTTATCTGTACTGCTGGAACCGCCCAACCATGCAAGGGGGCGTCCAGAGTGACATGGTGACATACCCCCTTCCCGGATTGCTCCCCCTGATCCGTTGTCTTGACAGCTGGGAGGAACGTTTCGCCGTTGGCAGGCACGCACGCGCTGTGGGCAGTCAGGCTTCAAGCTCGGGTTCCACCGCCCCGGCCCCTGCTGCATTTGGAAGCCGAAACCAAACCATTAGACGAAGTCAGCGATGACTAGTAGTCTTATTGTTTGGTTCCGGCTTCTAAACGTCACGCCCCAAAGGAACAAACGTGCTGTGCGCTGCTGTGTTGCGCGAGGTACACACGCGATGCGGATTCGTCGGGAGGGCGGCTGGTACCCGCAAACCCGAGCTGACCCCATCCATGCAAGCGGGAGGGTTCTCACCCCCAACGCATGCCCTATGTTTTTTAGCTCGATGAGGACGGTTAGGAGGCGGGCAAGAATGTTAGGTACTCTTGTTCGCCCCAGTGTGCAGCTGTCCCGGGGCCCAAGGCGGGGCTACCTGGTGAATCGCGTACAAGCACCTCGCGTCAGCACAGCGGCGCGTTTGCGTTTCCTCCGGGTGGAGCACCAGCAGCCCGGGCAGAAAAAGCGGCGGACCCGAGCTCGAAGTTTTCCCACCTTGGTCGCCGCCGTCGCTTGTGCGTGCCCGCAGACGGCGAAGCGTATTTCCAGGCTGTCTGGGCCTTGGAGTAGTCAGAGCGAGGCACGGGTGATGTATCAACTTACCTCCCAAGCTGGTCTGGACGTTGGAACATGTCAGAGCGAGGGACGGTGGGTGATGCGATATATCATTCTTCTTGTCTCGCTCTGACTGTTCCGATGTCTCCGATGTCTTGGCAGCTTGGAGGTATGTTTGTACGTCAGTCTCCGTGCCTGGCTCTTGTTGCACGCATGGCTGGACAGCTTGGGAGGCAAGTTTCGCCGTTGACTGGCACGTACGCGGGGCGGCGACGAGGGAAGAGGTACAGCTTCAAGCTCCGGTTCCGCCGCCCAGGCTGTTGCTGAATTTAGAAGCCGAAACCAAACCATTAGACAAGTCAGCGCTAGTCTAAATGGTTTGATGTCGGTTTCTATAAGCACACGCCCCAGAGGATTAGACTTGCTGTGCTGCGCAAGGTCCACACGCGATGCGGATTTCGACAGGTACCGGCCACCCCGACCTGCTGACCCATGCAGGCGGGGGAGGTTTCGTACGGGAGCAGAGAGCAGAAAACCGCCGTCCGTTGCGCTGTTCGCGTCTGGGGGGTCTTTGCTGCCGGCGATTGGTGATTGGACGGGACTGTGCCGTGTGGACCCCGGGCCCCTCGCGCTGCCGGCGATGATGATTGGACGGGACTGTGCCGTGCGGACCCCGGGCTCCTCGCGCTGCCGGCGATTAATGATTGGACGGGACTGTTCCGTGCGTACCCCGGATTCCTCTCGCTGGCGGCGTCTGGGACGCCGGCGTCGAGCATATTGTCGGGGACGTGATATCTTTTTAGAAAGTAGCGCATCTTTCAAAGAAAGACTACCCGATAGGCAACTGTTTGGCTTGCTTCGGAACTTTCGGGGGCGGCGACGAGAGAATGACTACAGCAGTTTGCAAATATTATCCTAGGTATTTGGGAGGGGGGGGGGCGCCGTTGGTACATCTTCCGTACCGGAACCGTTTCCTTCTGATTGGCTTCCCATTGTGCTACAAGGCAATTGCTGTGAAAGTAGGCCACTCCAAGGCGGTAAGGTGTCTCGAAGGGCTAGTCTTTCTGATGTCATGTATATTATTCAGCTGATATTTTTAGGTGGCACGTGGTGGAACAATCGTTCGTTCTTTCGGCTTGATAGCAGTGCTTATACATAACATGACCAATTCTCGACGGCGGCAAAAACTTGCACTAGATCCCGAATGGGCGTTTTTTATTCGCGAGCCGCAACTGCTGTATATGCGCTTCTCGTGTGCTGTGTCAGGTCCTTGACTACACCATCCAGATGCACCGCCTCTTGCCCCTGATAGCTTCGGCGTACGGGTTCCATTTCGCCGGCGTGGATCTAAATCTACGCCTCCGAAGACTGGAGAGAGAGCACGTCCACGGTAAGCTTGCTGCAGCTTGTCCTTGCCGTGAAGCAGCGTTCGTTCTACACGACTGTGTTGTGCCATCCCGAACGAATTGTCTTGGGAAAGAACAGGAAGGCAATGGACCCACCTTTAGAAGATATATTTCAACCACAGAAAGACGACAGACAAAACCACAGTCGAAGGAGATGTGTTGAAGATCTTTGCAGTGCGTTCGAGAAAAATCGGGGAGGCTGGGGGTTCTGAGCGAGAACATTTTTACGGTAGAACTGGCTACCCGCATTGTTTTGGTTGTGAAAAGGGGGCAAGTACATGTCCCTCACCGTGCTCACAGCAACACTGACTCCTATTCTCAGCACTATCGTTGGAGGCGTATCGTGGTGTTTTGGGGTCAAGTCCCCACAGCAGCACCGAAATCTGCTCCTCAAACACTTGAGAAAGTTGGAAGTACAACATTCTGTGGTCTAGGGTCAAGTAACGTGCTCTCTCCCCGCCCTCTCACAGCAGCCCCGAATCTGCCTCTCATCGCTGCCATCGGAAGCGTGCGACTGTTTAGGGCCAAACAACTCTCTCTCTCCCCATCCTCTCACAGCAGCAGCGGACCGACCTTTTTAATCTCACCCGAACCCCCCCCGCGCTACAGGCCTTCCCCCGCTGGCAGGGGGAAAGGGGGCGGGCGACACGCTCAAGCAGTTCCACGCCACCAGCTCCTGCCTGAAGGGCTTGTGCTCCGGGCTCACCGCCGCCGGCATCGAGGACTGCCGCAAGGCCTGTGGGGGGCACGGGTACCTGCAGAGCTCCGGCCTGCCCGAGCTCCTGGGCAACTACCTGCAGTCGTGCACCGTGGAGGGGGAGAACCACATGCTGACGCAGCAGGTTTGTTCGTGGGCTCTCTATGAGTGGAAACGCCTCTTTCGTTCGTGACGCCCCCACCCCACCCCCCACCCCCGGATGGTGCGGTGCCCCTCCACATGCTGACGCAGCAGGTCTGTTTGTGGGTTATTTAAAAAGCGGAAACGCCTCTTTCGTTCGTGATGCCCCCTCCCCCCCCCCCCCCTCCCGGATGGTGCGGTACCCTTCCGCCGTGTGCCTTTGTTTTTTGTCGCGCGCCCTCCTGGACTGTTACTGTACCACGTTGTTGATCTTACCGGCGAGCTACGCGTATGCAACCTAAGAATCAACCGCTAACCACTACCACCAAACAAAACAACAACAACAACAACAACAACAACTGGCGCGCGTGGTTTCGCCGCGGCGCGCGCCTTCGAAGAGCCGAAGCATGTGGTATGTTGACCGCTTTCATCGAGCCACACACCATACACTCACCCTTGGCCGCTATTCCTCGCCATCGTTGCACGGAGAACAGGTCGCGAGCGTGTATTTTAATTGTACTTCACGAATAGGATCGAAACCCCTTTTTCCCGGGCCCCAAGGCAAGACCAAACAGATCGCCGTTACACACAGCCGCAAGTTCCAGGGATATTAGACGCCACGTCTTGGTACGTTTGTTGGTCTATCGTTCCCGGCACGCGGCTGTTTCCGGTGGCAGGTGGTGCGCGTTTTGCTCCAAGAGCTAGCCGCCGCCCGACAATCCGGAGCCGTCGGTAACGACTGCGCCTACATGTCGCGCCTTGTTCGCGGAGAAGGGAAAGGGTAAGTGGCTTCAATTTCTGTTGCTCGGGTACATTGAAGTATGCACAGCCTCGAGTGCATTCTCGGCACCCCCCGCTGTGAGAAAAAAGCGTCCGGGTCGGCGAAGTCGCCAATCAGGAAACCTTTGGAAAGCTCGAAGTAGTTTGTTCGAGGCCCGAGGCGCCGGGCGCACTCGATTTTTGCCGAAAGAACGGGTCGAAACGCGGCCGCTTTGTTTGCACCGTCTCGAGAACGGGGTTGTGGCTACCCCGGCTTGACAATTTGCCATCCCGTGCCCCCATTTGTTTTGATTTTCTCTTCGCCGGTCGGGTCGCAACCCTCGGAAGCCTCTGCGGCCAACTGGGCTTGTCATATTTATATATTTGCCATCCCTTGTCCCTTCCCCATTTATTTTTTTTCTTGTCTTCCGAAACCAATAAGATGTTTCACTATTGTATGTCAACGCTGCACGCGTGGGCTGTGGTCTCCTACCTTGGAGATCTTCTCCAGGGCTTGATTTTCGGTCCAAATTTTTGGAAGTGTGTGCCGCGAAAGTATCCGCGCAAGCGTTTGATGGCCCGAACGATGGCGCCAGCTTCCAAGTCTAGTGGAGTCCAGTCGCGCTCGGCGTCAAGTGTCGATCTGCTGATGAAGACGGCGGGGCGAACAGAGTCATCAGGATGTTCTGGTGTAGATTTAATCTAAATTCGTTTTTTTGTTCCGTTCTCGCTTAACCGGTCGGGTGGGGTCTCCATCATCCTCAAAAGGCGTCGGCGTTGCCCGGTGAGGTCCCCCAAAGGCTTCCGCGATTCCGTGGTACTGGAAGCGGCGCTAGAGCACCGCGCGTTCCGGCTGCTGGTGCGGGTGGAGGCCCGCCTTCGCAGTGAAAGGGAAGCGGGGAGTTCGCCCGCCGAGGCTTGGAACCTCGCACTCATCGAGGTGCGAGAGGATGGGGAGGGAAGGGGGGGGGGGGGGGGGGGAAGGGGGAACCCGGGGGGGGGGGGGGGGGGGG